GCTTCCGGAGCTTCTGGCCAAGATGGAAACTTGGCGGGATGACCCGGACAAAGCAAGACATGGCAACTACAGTTTGAATGTAAGCGGAGGTGAAACCTCAAGGCAGCGGATTTTCTCTCGCGAGGACGCCACGGGCTCCTGTACATTGGAATGAGAACACAGTGCAAGTGTAACCAATGTAGGGTGAGGAGGCCATGGGCTCCTGTACATCGACGCAAAGACTTGTAGGCAAGCGCCTGCAGGGGAGGAACGAACACGCGACTGCTGGATTCGATGCAGCAGTTCGGCTCAAAGTGTTGCGTGAATATACTTCAGAGTTGGCAAGAAGAGTGTCTGTCGCTCAACGGCTTTGTCGCTCGCCAGTGGGAAGACACACGAGACCGGGGGGAGCATGTGAGGCGTGCGAATGGCTCGCTTTTTTCCTGCCTGGTTTGGAAATTCGGAGGTGCGGTCTGAACGCCGTGTGTTGAGTCAAGAAGCGCGTCGACTCGTTTGCGCTGTCGGGGAGGTGCCTTTGACCTGCACGGTCGGGTGCGCTGGAGGTGTGTGCAGCAGTGAGTAACAGACCATGCAACCGTGCCGGAGGGTTGCGGAGTCCAATTGTCGGAGGACGATTTCGTTGGATCCAGCATCTCCAGAAGAGAAGGCTGTCCGTGGAACCGTGGGAGCACATCGCCGACCAGGAGGTGGCGCATCCGGACGAGACATGTCGTAGAGAGCCCCTTATGTGGCCAGAGCTTGAGCAGTTTGAGCAAGGGTATACGAAGTGAAGGTCGTAGGTCCTGCTCATGCGCACTTTGTTTTGCTGGCTCTGTGTGTGTGTGTGGTGTCTGCAGGTCGACTTGTGGAGACCACTGTGGCACGGGCGGAAGGCGATGTGAGCCTGGGTAAGAAATGAGAAAACAAGAGTGGTAGGAGACGACACAGATGTAGAAGAAGGCCGTGGTGCCGACACCAAGCAGACAGACAAGAGCATGCGTCATTCCGACCTCCTGGCGGAACAGGTTGGACGTGTATGACGTTGATGCCATCCAGCCTGCAGCCCATAGAATGTCCTTGTTTGGGGGTGCTTAGGGAGGCAGATGGTTTTCCGGAAAGTGCCAGGTGACTACCAGTTGGCCTTTGGACGCTTCTGGCTGTTGCAGTGTGCTTCGTTCGCACATTACATGTTGCCAAAAGCTCTTCTTTGGTGGAAAGAAAAGAAAGCAGGCGTTTTGTTTGAGAGAGTCTGAGTCTTGTAGCTTTAGCTACATGCCGACTTTCCTCCAGGTTGCCCGGAGTGGCAAACCTACAGTGGAAGAGGACGTGCGCTGTGTCCATGTCCAAAGAGTGTATAGTCTTTGTAGCGACAGAAAAGGAGAGAATCGGAGTGACGGTCTCCATGGAGCAGTGGATGTGCAAGATGCAAAGCGAGGTGACACGGCGGGCGACACATGTCTTGTTGATAGCCGCGAAGGAGACACCTGTTGTTACTGTTGTAATTGTGCAATGTTTGGGTCGCGGCTGGATCGCTTGTTTTGCACAAAAAGACAGAAAGGATGCACCATCGAGGCCTTCGTAAAGAAGTGGGGTGGGGTAGCACACAAAAGACAGCGTGGAAAGCTAATGAAACATAAACATGATAGCAGGTGCCTTTGAAGACGGACAGCAAGGTGGCATGGGGCACAAGCGAAAGAAAAGTCGTTGGTGCATAGCCATTGCTGCAGAGAGAAACTCAACTCACACAGTCCTGTTGCCAAGGTGGCGCCGGAGATCAAAGCAGGGAGACTAAGCTTATATTCATCTGTGACCCACACGTACGCGCGCGCACGTCAACTTTAAGGTAAGTAGGAGTGTACTTGGTGTTTGACATGTGTTTGCTCCTGCGCAGCGGAGGCCGCAGCAAGCGACAGCACAAGCGTTTCCGAGACACGTGGTATAGGGTGCGTGTTTGGCTGCACGCACGGACCTACACCTCGACTGAGCGATATCGGCGAAGAGCATACACCAAGTATTTTGACGCGGCTATCCGCGAGCACGATGCCATGGTGGCTCTCTGTGTGTGTGTGTGGTGTCTGCAGGTCGACTTGTGGAGACCACTGTGGCACGGGCGGAAGGCGATGTGAGCCTGGGTAAGAAATGAGAAAGCAAGAGTGGTAGGAGACGATACAGATGTAGAAGAAGGCCGTGGTGCCGACACCAAGCAGACAAACAAGAGCATGCGTCATTTCGACCTCTGGCGGAACAGGTTGGACGTGTATGAGGTTGATGCCATCCAGCCTGCAGCCCATAGAGTGTCCTTGTTTGAGGGTGCTGAGGGAGGCAGATGGTTTTCCGGAAAGTGCCAGGTGACTACCAGTTGGCCTTTGGACGGTTCTGGGTGTTGGAGTGTGCTTCGTTCGCACATGACATGTTGCCACAAGAGCGGAGAAAGCAAGCCATTTTTTCAAGCGCTAAGTGGAGGCAAGCGTAGGCTCATGCTTGGGACACTGAACGCCCTTGGAGACTTCAGGTTGTCCGGGTTGGCGGAAGTACAGGGCCAGAGGACTTGTGGTGTTGAATGTCTGAAGGCTTGTGTGTGTGTCTGTGCATGTTGCGCAGCATGGAGGAGAGAATGGTGCAGACACTCTCCATGGAAGGGTGAGGGCGCATGATGCGCACCGAGGTGGAACGGGTGGAGTGAACCGGTTGTAGGCAGCAGACACCGTAGTTCGTCGGTTTTGTCAAATGATGTGCGTGTGCTGGCTGCAGGTGAGCTTGTCGCTGCCAGAGTACCACGGAGGGAAGGCGACGCTAAGTCCGAGAAACCAGAAGCGAGCAAGGATAGAGGAGAAAAGCCGACAGCAAAGAAAGACAGTCGGCCATTTCAGGAGTGACAGCCCGACGGCCACGCTGCAAGCGGTGAGGATTTCCAAGGCCATTGCAGTTCGCAACGGCTGGAAGGGATACTCCTTTGACGTGACCACAGCTTTCCTATCAGGAGAGAATCTACAACGCAACGTGTATGTGCGAGCTCCTGAGGAGGGATTGCCAGCAGTGGATGAAGAGCCAGCCGTGGGCGGTGGCGAGCTGATGCAGATCTTGCGCTCAGCCTACGGTCTTGTTGAAAGCCCTCGACTCTGGTACTTGAGGGCGAGTAAATTGCTGACATCCACACCATTGAAAGAACTGCCGATCAGCAAGAGCAGCTTCGTGGCTTCTGACGACACCCAAGCGTGGGCACTGCTCAATCTTCATGTTGATGATGGCCTTCTATTCGGTTCAGAGCAGGACAATCGTTTCCTGAAGCTCAAGAAAGATATCAATGGCATGTTTACGATCAAGGAGTGGAAGTCCATTCCCTTGACCTTTTTGGGCGTGGATCTCAAGGAACGGCATGGAGAGCTTTATGATGACATGTCCAACTACATCAGCAAGATCGCATTGCCGGACATGAAGCTCAGTGCCAAGAATGACACTCCGTTGAATCCACAGCAGCTGACAGCATACAGACAGCTGGTGATGAGGCTACGATGGCCAGGTCAGCAATCGATGCCTCAGGTGCTGTACAAGGTCAGCAAGTTGGCACAACATGCCACACGAGCCACTATGGGTGACTACAAGGCGGCATTGCAACTTTATGAGGAGTGCAAGGAGGAAGCAAAGCAAGGTCGTGCCGTGCTTCCATACCCCGAGATACATGGCAAGCTTTTTGTGGTGACTTACTTTGACGCGTCCCTCGGCAAGGAGAAGGACGGCAAGTCACAACTTGGGGCAGTGCACTTCCTGACAAACGAGGAAGTCTCGAAGGGCCCTCAACCTGCTGCAGCAGTGGACTACATGACAAACAAAAGGAGCAGGGTGGTCAGGAGTTCAATGGCCGCGGAATCTTGTTCACTCAGCCTCGCGGTGGACAGACACCTCTACGTCCGCCTCATTGCCGACATGATGCTGCATGGAGTCTTTGAGGTTGGATCAGAATGGCAGGCACGCCTGAGGGTAGGCGGCGGCGTCGTTACGGACGCAAAGTCGCTGTACGACCACATGTGCACGACAGGGCAGATTCCTTCAGAACGGCAGACTATGCTGGATCTTCTGGTGGCCAAGGATCTGCTAGAACAGGAGGTGTTCAAGCTGTACTGGGTCCCCACTCACAGACAACACGCAGATGGCCTCACCAAAGCCATGCGCAACCTGTTGTGGGAAGAATATCTCACGAGAAAGACCATCAGCTTGAAAGAGACCGCGGAGGAGAAGGCGACGGAGGAACACCGGAAGCAGCTACGGAAGGGACAACGAGAACGTCGCAAGGAGCGATCAAAGAAGATGGTGGCACCATCTAGCTTGGCAGAGCCAATGCACTGTGGCTGGGCCACTGTACAGTATGGCAGAGCCATGCTTTAATTTGCAAGAGCAACACACCAGCACGTTTCTCTCCCAATGTGGAAAGTGACGGTTGCTGGTACAGGGTGGTGTGTTGTGATGCATGTCGGTACATACCGAAGCTTGATCAAGCCGCGATCGCAAAAGCAGAGCTTTCGCTGGCAGCGCCGTTTGTTTTGAGCCCATACCACTCCGCAACCAAAACTTTTTGGGGTAGTGACAATTTCTAGGCATCCCAGAGGTTGGCAATCAGCGCTCAAACCAGGAGATCTCCGCGTAAAATGGCCGGGCAAATTCAGCATTTGGTGCCACTTCATGACACCGACAAGAAACACCAAAGAAACAAATTCTGAAAGACTTACTCAATCTTACTTAGCATTACTACTAGTAGCAAGAAGCTACCAGTAGCAAAGGGCATCGCTACTAGGAGCAGGGACGCTACTAGTAGCTCCTGGCCTTACTACTAGCAAGAAGCTACTAGGTTGGAGGCCATCGCTAGACTGATGTGACACCGTTCTTCAAAATCGACTTCAGTGGCGGTCTTTGCGCCACCGAGGTCTGTTCCGGGGCACCGAACAGAACCATCTCTTCGACCATCTCTTCAAACTGTCGAACGGCTCATGTTTGTCACATCTTTCCCGTTTGTGACAAATTGGGAGGTACCAGTACAAGACCTTGTGGTGCCCAATCGGCGTTCAGCATGACTGGCAGAATTGCGTCTATGCCCACAACTATCAGGAGCTGTCAGAGTGGGCAGCGGGGGAGTGGCAGTCTGCGGCGCAGTGCGCGGGGGTGACCTTGCAACGTTGTGACGCATCAACCATAGCAAAAATTTCACCTTTCAACACCCCATTACAAAGCTTTTCCAAGCATCGGTGGTGCCAGTCTCTGACCAATCTGAGACCTTCGGCTGGAAGGATGCAGTGCTGAATCGAACTGGTTGAACGAAGCAGCGAAGACTAACAGTACCAACAAAGTCTTGATCGTAGAGTTGAAATTGCGAGATTTGGACCTGTCTACCACCCCAACCTGCTTGCCGAAACACCTCACCTTGGATAGCCGATGAGTTCCTTTTTCTTCATTACATGTCGTTCCATGTACAGAAACCTTCCTTTACCGTCGCTCTCCACCAGGATGCCCGCCGCAAGCTTTCCATCGGCTATGGGCCGCAGCCGTGCCCTCACTGGGCCAAGAAGGAGCTACACGGCGCCGCGCAGCGAGATCGACGAAGCTCGGGCGTTGGAGAACGGTGTCGGGCGCCACTCCTACACAACTCTGGAAGAGTTTGAGATAGGCGGATTGAGAGTTTCGAAGCTCAATAGTTTGTTGTTGTTGTTGTTGTTGTTGTTGTTGTTCTTTTTACTACATGTTTTTTGCTCTGGCTTCTATAAATGCTTCTGGCCATTTCTCAACCTGCCATCTTCATTCACTTCAGAATGACAGCACCTGGAAACTTGTTCAAACTGGGGTGGGTGAGGACCCAAGCCTGGACTACGAGCAGCGTTGTCCACAGGCATTGTGTTTTGGTATGGCGACAGCCGGCGGTGTGGTAGCAGGAGGGGGGGCCAGGAACTAGATGTCTATTTGAGGAGAAAGTCCAGACCATCTAGGTCAGCGCTTCTTTCCAGTAGTTTCTGGCCATATCCATGTAGAAATGTAGATAGACCAACAAATAGATGCGCAAGACTGATTTATGTGGTTTTTGTCGTAGGCTGATCCCTACAGCCGATTGAACTTTTCCTTTTCCCCTTCACAATTGATATCAGCTTCTTTGGAAGACAAGCTGACTCAATCTTTGCGCGGAGTGCTTGAGAGCCAGAGGGTTAGTCACGCAGACGGGGCCACAACTGATTAACACATCAAAGTGACACTTGCCACCCACCTTGATTAAAACAAACATCAACAGGCCACGCAAGGGAAGGTTCAGTGATTCGGAAGATGAGAACATCTATTCACGTCCAGTTTCTATGTCACAATGTCGGTTGGGCACCCTGCGAGGGCTTGCGCTGCCCCTACGCGCACGGCGCGAAAGAGCAGCTCTACCATCCGCGATACTTCAGGTGGGCCCCAAAGTCGTCCTGTGTGGTGGATGCTGGGTTTGGAGCCGTTTTGGTATTAAAGTGAGCTGATCTTTTTGAAGTTCATAATTTTTGTTGTTTTCGGTTGGTGTTCATGTGTGAAAGTCTGTTTTTGTCGTCATCCAGCCAATAGATATTCATTGGTTCTTCTCTTCTACTCGAATAATGGAAGTTTTTGCCGTTGAGTTGATCCTGCAAAAGTAACATACAAGTCCTCATGACGAGAGCTCTCTTTTGCTTGGAGGAGGTCCTTGTAGCAACTACTTTCTGAGTGTTCCTGTCTGTTAGGCCTTACAAGGCCTTACAAGGTCATCCCTGGAGCTAGTAGCATCCTTGCTACTAGTAGCTTCTTCTTTCACCAACAGGATGGGAGCCACTCATCGCTTCATCGGCCATTTTCCACGGGCTATGCGCTTCTGCCGCGTTGCGACGCGACCAGGACGGTGGTTTGCCGGGACCTCCGATCCAAGGAGCTCTGGCCTGTGCAGGGCGGGGGTGACAGGTGGCCTTGTTTTCAACCCAACAAAAACAAGGGGAGCTCACTGAGCACACGATCTTCCTCAGTCTTTTGGGACATAAAGTGTTCGTTCTAAACTTGCTCCAACCACTCTGGTAAGGAAGGCCTTTGGTTGGGGGGTGCCCTGTGGCGTGGACCAGCCGTGTTATTATGCTTCGAGAGAGTAGTCATCTGAACACCTAACAAGCTCCGACTTCAGGACGGGAAGAAGGCTCAGAACGGATTTTTCGCGTGCATTTTTTAGCCTTATACTTGGATGTTTGCGGTGGGCAAGAGGCGGGACGTCGATGGTTCGCACTGCCCACTTGTCATCCTTTGCCCTACTGGGTGAACCACGAGCTCGGAAACACACGAGCTGAAAGCAACCTGTATACTGTATACGTGACAGGAATTAGGCATGCATACCCAATTGGCATCGCGACTTTCTTCAAGCTCAGTTGTCCTTAAAAACCACAACATAATATATATATATATGTTTATAGTAGCGCGATGCTTTTGATAGTGGGTGATTTGTTGGACCAGTGTGTCAAGCCTTTCTCCTTGATACCCAATGAACCTTCACCATCCATCACTGCCACTTATTCCCATCCAGTCACGGCCGCATCCCGAGACAAATCGCACACACACCGTTCTAGTAGCTTCTATAGCTACCTACTAGCGATGTCCCTAAGAGTGTCCTCCCGCTTCCTTTGGCGTGTCGCCGCCCAAGGCCTGTCCCCGCGATCGCCTCTGTGCCTTCTTCCACCGCCGTGCCGAGCGCCGCCGGCCGCCGCCCGACGGTGCGACCGGAGTCGCGCGGCGAGAGGGTGAACTCACCGACCGGTACAAGGGTGCTTGTGGGAGTGTCGCATCGGGTCGATGAGGGTCGTAAACAGTCGGAAAAGATTCCTATTTTTGAGAAAGGCCTTTATTTACCCACCATCATCATCCTACTGTTATACCCAAGTTTGGTTTCTGTCAGAAAAACGAAAAATGGCCAGACACGAAGCCCTCCGCAGCCCATCCTGCAGATACCGACTACACCAGGCCACTGCCGAACGAGGCCACTGCCGAACGGCGTTCGAATGAAGCCACCAAGCCCTCAAGTCCGATCTGCCAGTGAAGGGTTCCCGACTGCTAGTTGCGTCCGAACGCTCCGTTCGTAGCGATGCCAGGAGCCCCTAGTAGCGTCCTTGCTCCTAGTGGTAAGGAGCCCCTAGTGGTGTCCTTGCTCCTACACTCCAATGTTTTTTTTTCTTGATGGGTCGATATTAACTAGTAATTCATGGCGCGGCTGTTACAGTCAATTGCCATAGGCACGAGCAATGCAAAAAGAACATGGCTGGTGGATATGATTTATACATACACTCCCTGAAAAGTCGATCTGCGGCATTGAGGGTCTCAACTTTGATGCATTTATTTTTTATGTTTTCTCATGCCTCTTGTGGTTGGACGTTGTGGACATCAACTGCTTAATTTGCTGACCCCTTAACATGATGTTGCATATAATCATACTTCCATAGGGCTTGGGTGACTGCCGGGAAGGCGATCTGCGAGGAGTGGCGCGCCAACTTTCAACGACCTCCCTTCAGCGACCTCGCGTCCGGCACCGTTGGCCATTCGAGGTTTTTCGTGTGGTCTTCCCCGTTTCACCGTTGAAACATCAAGCAGGTGGTGCTATAAAACATATAGCCTACTTTTGATGTGCTGATTCAGTTTCAGTCTGCAACGGCTCAAGCTCTGGCAAGTATCAACTGGTATCAGCGCTAAAATCGCACATTCATGCCCAAGTTCTGTGGTCTCACGTTGGAGAGATTCCTGCCAACTGCTATCTGCTACACCAAGGCCCACGGGGCGACTGGAGGCGAAGCCCTTGCCAGCGGGTAGCGTGCCACCAGGCATGGAGTACAGATGGAGTCACAGTATGAATAGGGAGGGAAGAGGAGGTGTTATGTTAGCATATCCGATGTTTTGGTTGTCTATGACGCAAGGCGTTTCGTTCGCCCTACCCAACAAGAGCTCTGGTGCCGGAGGAACGGGGTCTTGTCACACCGCTGGCCGGGTGTGGGGCGGCACGAGGACGCTGTCGTTGCTTGCCATGGCAGTTAGAGGGAATGGGTGCATTGAGCCCCTCGCAAAATCGGATAGTTCAGTGTTGCTTGTTCTGGATGTGGGTGCTATCCTGTTCGTGGGTCAGCAACCATGTCTACTCTACATGTCAAGGCGTTTGAGGCCAACCCACTTGGCTCCAAAGTGGATGACAGTGAGACGATGGGCTACTTGTGCTCACTGGGCGTCTTTTGCTTGGTCAGCCAGTGCCTGACTGAAGCATCTCGTGTGTGCTTGGAGGGGAGGCCACCTCAAAGATCAAAATGCTTGAGCAGAGTTCCACAATAGACTGAAGCATACCAAGCCCAGACTTTCCGAGTTGGGCAGACTTTCACTGTGGATGCACTGGTCGAGTTTTGACGGGATGCGGTGTAGTGTTTCTTGCTCTTCTTTCTTCTGTAGCTGGGATTGATCTTTCCCCCTGCAATGATGGGTTGTGAGACCTGCATCAGATACCATGAGAGTATGGACTTGCGATGCAGTATGGCCTCTCAACCGGATTCTATGTCCTGTTCTTATAGCTATTGCAAGCTTGGTGAAACAGGATCGGCAGCGTCCGATCCCTTGCACTTTCAGAAGTCGATCACTTCGGGTGGGCTTGGCCAAGCCTGGGTTGCCTCCTTGCGCCCCAAGAACCCCCCAGCCAGGCACTTCGGCTTCCTCGCAGGTTCGCTTCACTCGCTTCGACTCTGTCGTCTCACTCTCCATCCGTCCGATCTGGTTCTCCACACGCATCGATCGGGCTCCCAAACATCGCCCGGCCTGCGCTGTGTTAGGGAAATATTAATTCTAATTAATAGCTAGTTGTTTCTAATAGCTTCTTGTTACTACTAGTAAGGCACTTGTTACTAGAAGCGATGCACTTGTTCTTGTGCTGCTCATGTTTCCATTGATGTGTGTTTCTGGAGGTGACAGGCTTTCCAAAGATTTGCTCCCTAGCTCAATGTTCACCAGGCAACCCACTCAGTGCTCAAATCAAATAGGATGCTTCTTTCACCCAATGAACAACATGAACAGACCATTTTGGTCAAAGACGCTTTGGTGGAAAAAAGCATGGGATGTGAACACCTGGACCTATGTTTCCCATGCTTCCCACGGGGAAACCAACCGTTCAACCTGCTCACAACCTCCAGGCCTCTGTCCGGAGCCAGAAACTGGGCCTCGCACTCAGCCCGACCGCTGCGCATCAGGCTACGCATCGGCCGGACGCTGGTGCCTGGAGCGCGAAGTTGGGTGGCATTTCTTTTTGAAAACTCTGACATGGGAGCACAAAACTCCATCAAGCTGGGGGCTCAGATGAGGTAACGATGTACTCACTAAACAGATACAAGGGGAATCACAGAGATCTGTTTAAGCAAGCCGATTCCAACCGGCCTAGAGAGTCGATTCGTTCTTGTTGGCAGCAAGAGCCTTGTTTCCTTCAACCGGTTTTTAGATGCCCCATGTGTTGAGAACCTTGGGGTTTATCCAGTCATGCCGGTGACACGGTTGTGGTGACAGCACAGGATCAGCACTTGCACTCTCTTCCTGGTCCTCCAGCTGCTCTGCGCAAGCCGAGGCTGAACTATTTGCAGGACTTTACCATGGCACCCTTTATGCGAAACTGGCATGCTTTGAGAGTGCCATTGTCTTTCAGCGACTTGTAAATCGATGAAAGGGGGGTATCGACCCTTCAGCTCAGGTGGTCGACCCTTCAGTTGCTTGACAAGGCCGCAACGCGGCCGCAACGCACTCGTTTCTGCACCGGCGTTTCTGCAGGACATCGGTGGACACGGTCGAAGACCATTCCCATCGCTAGACTCAAGTTGTGGGTGCGATATGCGGGACAGTAGCGTCCGATCGTTCCGTTCGTAGCGATGGCAGGAGACCCGTTCGTAGCGTTCTTGCTCCTAGATCGTATGAGATGTTTGAAAAGAGGATCCGAAAAGGGAATCACTGAGGGAACGTATAGTCTTTGGACTTCTAGGGTATTGTGTTCTATAAACGTATAGTATTCTTTTCTTGTCCTTGACATGCACATAGCTCTGGATCGTTTTGAATGCTTCTTTGAGATTAAGAATTTTGAGGCAGTAAGGTAGATTCACGAGATCGCCTTCGAACAGGTACTAAGATGCCATGGAGCCTTATAGCTGTTGGGAGCTTTGCATGGCAAAACCAAAGAACCCGGTGGAGGCCATCGCTTCTAGGTTGGAGGCCATTGCTATTAGGTTGGAGGCCATCGTTATTCGGTTCCTCAAGCTTTCCTTAAATTGAGGTAGATTCTTAGGGCAGCTTTGCCGCAAAACTACAAACATGTCATTCCAGGGTTTCAACAAGACCATTACTAGTAACAGGAAGCTACTAGGGGCTCCTGGCCTTACTACTAGGAGCAAGGACGCTACTAGGAGCAAAGGACGCTACGAACGGGGCTCCTGGCATCGCTACTAGTAACAAGAAGCTACTAGTTCGCTGCGAGAGAACTCGGTGCCTTGGAGGAGCCCAAGGAGGCTAATACACCAAGGACCACTGGCAGCACTGGCAGTGGCAGGGTGTTGTTTCTTTTTTGGACGGAGGGGGAGAAGAGTTTTCGACGGTTGGTTGCTTCTATTCCGGTTTTGTTTTTTCTTTTGGGAATGAAGTTCAGCAAGCTGTTCTGTTTCCGTTTGTTCTTTTGGTGGGTGGGAGGGGCAATGCTTTTGAGAAGCATGAGAAGACCGACGTTTGTTTTCAACAAAGAGATCAACATGATGGTCAATAGTCCATTTTTGTTTGCCACAATTTCCGACCGATGAGCCTTCCGCACAGTTCGTTAAGATGACCTCGGTCGTTTGTGGAGCCGAACGGAAGGTTCGTCGTTACACGTTTTGTTCCCTGAACACTCCCGAAACGTGGTGAGGCCAAACTTTGGGTTGATCAGAGGCACCATGGCACGACAAAACCCCAAAAATCACCATGGCGGGCGTTCCGAAAGCTTCCCCACGCACCTTCAGATGGCGTATTGAAAAGTAAAGGTGTGGATATAGTTATTATCCAAGGCAGTTTCATTTGCAGGCCCACCTTGCATGCTCTGTATCCCCTGGCTAGTTCTGCGGTTTTCTTGCGCAGCGTGGTTCTCGCCCTTGGCCGCTCTTGTTCGAATCAGAGGGAGAGCAGGAGACGGAGAGGGCTTCAAGCGGTTTGCGGAACCTTCACTGCAATGATGCAGATGCTGGTTCATGTTTTCACAACAGGACTTGTGCTGGTTGTCTGACGGAAGAAGCTGCAACTGGAAATGCTGCAACTGGAATCACGACAGACTCCGATAGACCATGTTCTCATGTGTGCAACCCTCATTACTTGCAGACAGAGGCACTTCCATCTAGAAGTAGCTAGCAGGACAGAAACCATCAGAAACCACTCCTAGTTAGGTAAAGCCACATGTTGACAGAACTCGTCTTCATCTCGATTTGGCTCGGTGAGATCTCATCTCGCATCCCACCACTCTCCGCACCTGCGGCTCATGAGCTGTCGGGCACCACCCTCAGTGGCAGCATTGGGAGGGAAGGCAGCACGGGGTGGGCTGGATCGGACAAAATGGGACCTTTGTGGAACTTCCTCAATCAAGAAGATCATTTTGTGCAGGTCCTCTCATGCTTCACATGGAACCGCGCTCGCCAACTAGTAGAACAAGGGCGGACCATTTTCCGAATACCGACCAGGTAGTTTTCACTTTCACGATTATTTGAGGGAGTGTGCTGTTACTGAGTGTACTGATTATAAAAGTCGCTCCCTGAAACCACGGAGATGGTTTCCATGCGTGGGGTTTTGATTGGTTTGAATCACAAAGGAAGGGAGACGATCTCCCAACATGATCATCCTATCTTGAAAGGGCCAAAGCAAGAGATGGCATGAGATGGCTGAGTTCACTTCACCCTACATTGCCCCCTACATTGCCCCATACATTGCCCAGATGCGAAGCAGTTGATTCCCCATGCCACACATTGGTGTGCTCAAAGGGTGTGATTCGTGGGATTTGCCACAATTGCTTCCCTTGGAGACATGGGAGACATGGGAGACATCCTTCAGTATTTTTTGCGGTGATGATCGCTACTACGTGTGGATTGAATCTTCAGTACCAAAAAGAGATGAAAGAACGTCGAACAAAGAGCTCAAAGGCTTTCACAGCCTGGTGCGGGTACAAAAGGCCCCAAAACTACCAGGTGATTTCATCGCACACCTCCAGTTGCAATGGGTTTGCTGACGATGGAAGCCTCTCAAGGTCTAGTCTGGAGAAGCGGATGACGCCCGAACAGGCTGGCAATCTCGCGAAGACTTGGACAAATCAAGTTGTAGAAACAGATCGAAGGTCTGCGTCAAGCATATTAGGACGCTACTAGGGGCTCCTGGCATCGCTACGAACGGAGCAAGGACGCTACTAGGGGCTGCTGGCACTACTAGGAGCAAGAGCGCTACTAGTAGCCATTCTTCAGGGTCCCTTTTTTTCGTTTTTGGGGAAGGTCCAACGAAATCCATCGATCCACACTTCTTTTCAGGGCGCGGGCCCCCTCGGGTTTTGGTCGCTTGAATCCGCGTTCTGGGTCCTATAGGGTTCAACCGGATGGTTTCATCCTTTGGACTGGCTTCCGCAGTAGTTCACACATGTTCACACCGTTCTCAAGCAATTTCATGTTTTCAACTTTTAGTTCACATGTTCAAAAAACCTCGGTCGCGGGACGCCACTGCGTTCCTTCTTCAGCTCAGTTCGGACACATTGCTGCGAACGAAGTCTGTCGTCCAATGTCCCACCTGGTTCACTCTCCAGTCACAAGAGCGGAAGGCCGCTCTCCTGGCAGATCATTGATCCCACATGGTACTTTGTTTTCAGGTGTCTTTGGCGTAGGAGATTCTATGAATTCTATGCCATCGGCCGCTTTAGATCGGGATCCGTAGGAGTCCATGTAGACCAGCGCTTGGGTTGCTCTGAAAATAGAACTGTTCGGAACCGCCACCCAAGCATAAGCCACGAACTGTGAAGACAGGGTTCTTGCAGAACCTTCAAAATCACCTTGGAATACAAAAGTTAGACTCTCTCTCTCTCTCTATCTCCCGAGCTTTTGAACACAACGTCTCGATCCGAGTCCCTAGGCCGCCTTTGACGACGCCCGCTGGCCGAGCTGGCCCGGGGCGGGGCGGAGGACCCTGCGCGCACGCTCTGATGGGTCGCATCTGCCGCTCGGCGGGATCGGAACCGTTCTGATGGGTTCCTGGAGGAAAGCGAGCATTCCATGCATCATATAACTAGTAATTCACTGCAAGAACCAACAGGGACAACCCAAGATCTGAGCCGGACTTCATGTTTGTGGAGTGAATCAGTCCCTGGTCGCATGCACGGGTCGTTAGACAGAAGACAGAATGGTAAAGAGTCACAACTTTCAACGGTCCCTGGTCGCATCCAAGTCTTATCGTCTTGGGACATTCTCAAAACATCCAATTGTCACAACTTGGGTGATTGGTTGACCCACACCAAGCATCGATCCGCACCAAGGAGTGAAGAGAGCTTCGTTCGAGGGCAGGACCGGGCGACGGTCGCGGTCCGCGGTCGGTCACGTCGTTCGAGTCGAACATCGGTTCGGGCGCTACGAGAAGGGAATGTAGCTTCTTGTTACTAGTAGCGTCCGTGCTCCTAGTAGTAAGGCCAGGAGCCCCTAGTAGCTTCTTGTTACTGCTAGTAAGGCACTTGTTCCTAGAAGCGATGCACTTGTTCCTAGTAGCTTCTTGTTACTGCTTGATTCATCTTTCACTTCTGCACTTTGGATTGTAAAACCTCTCACTTATTCATATAGATTGCATTGAAGTTGGTTAAAATGAGTGGGAAGTTCTTTCCTTGTTGATCCTTCCTGTCCAATGGCTGTTCACATCAAGACCATTTGCTATCCTTGCTTGATCGCCAGTTTTTTGAGTCGGTGGAAGAGTCTTCGATGGTTGTTTTGGGGGAACTACTTTGTGATCTTGAAGCTCACTTCCCACTCATGTGATCAGATTCCCACTCACTTCGCACGTTGAAAGCTCTTCCCACTCGCACGGAGTGGTAGGCCGAGAGGCAGATTGCGCCACCGGGCGGTTCGGTGAAGGCCGTCCTCCGACCGGTCACCGTCTACGTCCGCCGCCGTGCCGAAAGGACCGCCCCACGCACCGCATGACATTGCCGTTGCCCGCGTGCAGTGGGGACTCGCCGGAGCTCCGAGAATGGGTGGAAGGAAAGCAGACACACAGAGATACCTTAGAAATTGCTTCAATGAAGGGCTTACAGACACATTTTTGAGCTATCTTTGTTTCGTGGCACTTTTTCACTTCCACGCACATGAACCAGTTCTGTTAACCAGAAAATGACATCAGCCTAAAAAGCCACTGAGACGCCCGGTCTCTTCAACAAAGCTTTCCGGGCTCTTCGTCCGACGATTTCCGGGGATGGAGGGGCAGTGGTCCGATGAAGGAAGACCGGTCTTCTGAAGGAAGAGCTTCAACGGTTGAAGGAAGTCGTTTCTGTTTTTTTCAGTTTCCACTTTACAGGGTTGCAGGGCACATGAGATGATCCCTCAAAAGTGTCAATGAGGCCTTATTTTCGGCAATGGCCGCCAGATTGGGAATCATCACCATTTCGGGGTGGTTGTTTGCTTTTCCTTTCAACGGTTCTTCTGATCGACTGGCAGGACTTTCATGGATCAGCATCATGTTGCGAAAGTCGTCTAAAATTGGGGGTGCCACACAAGAAGGACATATAATCAGCGGTGTGGCAATCGACAGGTTTTCTCATTGAGTTTGGTCGGCTGGACATTACTCTTTCCCGTTTCCTCGAAACGCGTGGAGAGTTGAACAGCCATGAGCGACTTCTCCTGAAGTCCAAGAAAGGATTCTTGTGCGTCAGTAGCTTTTTGTTACTAGATGTTACTAGTAGTAAGGCCAGGAGCTACTAGTAGCGTCCTTGCTAGTAGCGATGGCCTTTGTTACTAGTAGCTTCTTGTTACTAGTAGAAATGGCCTCCAACCTAATACGATGGCCTCCACCTAGTAGCGTCCTTGCTACATCATGAAAAAACACTCTCCAATTGGGCCACAAGAACGAAACGGTCCAGGCTTTGGTCGCAACACGTGGCACGTTGTGCGTGGCCGAGGACCGCGCTGGAAATGGCCGTTCTCACTGAGGGGCGAGGCGTGGAGGATTCATCGAACAAGGAACTTGTCGGAGCGCAAGTAAGGCGGTTGTATACTCCAATTAGTGTAAATCTACTAACTGAAATGTTGATAGCAGATACAGTAGATGACCAGCAGATGATATGATCCGTGGAAAACACGGGTTCTTCTGTGTTATTCTGCTGTCCCTCCCTTCCGGCTAGTTGGAATTCTAAATCGATATACGGATTCATAGGTTTGCATCACTGGCACCCCTAACCAGTGCTTCGGCTGGGTTGGAGTCACCAGCCTGTAAGTTGACAAATCTTTAGGCCAACTCCGCTGTAGGGTGGCAACCTACAGATGCATAGGTCTGCGTGAGTAACACTCCGAACCAGTACTTTGGCGGCTGGGTTGGAGTTCAAGCCTGTTGGCAAACCTCTAGGACAGCTCCCCTGTAGGTTGGCAACCATCTTTTGATTCATAGGTTTGCATCAGTGGCACCTTAAACCAGTACTTCGGCTGGTTCCAAGCCTATAAAACAGGCAAGCTCCGCTGTAGGCTGGCAACCTACAGATGCATAGGTCTGCATCACTGGGACCCCCTAATCAATAATTTGGTGTCCAGCAGTGCCCCGTTCTGTGAGGCACCCGAGTGGCGCCAACACCGGAGGGTGTGAGACTTAAGAGGCAACCGGGATCGGGTCACATCATGTCAGTTCGATTGAGATTGGGGTGAATCAAGACCGCCAAAGCATTGGAGCAAGCTCGTGCCTCTCATGGTTTGCCTTCATGAAGATTTGATTCTCCTTGCTTCAGCAGGCTTCAGTCACTATTGAGTTTCAATCCACCTATGAGCGATCAGATATATGGTGGAAGTTTGACAGGGTTTGGCTGAAGTGCCAACTTGAGGGTAAGTGATTCCTCTTACCAGAAGTCATCACACTCGCTCCTTCCGCTGATTCCAATGCGCGGCAGGCACAGCTGGGCCGGCAGTCTGAAGAATTGGATCGGTTGGGTAGCCCAGAAGTGAAGCGTTTTGAAAGTAGATATCTTGTAAGGTCTTGAACCTTTACAGGTCTTGGACAAGTTTTGGTGCTCTAGCTATCATCCGTCTTGTAGTCACGCACACTTTAGTGAGTTGATATAATATCTGGGGTATCGATCTTCCAGCAACAAGAAGCTATTAGGAGGCCATGGCTATTAGGTTGGAGGCCATCGCTAGTAGGTTGGATGCCATTACTACTAGTAGCAAGAAGCTATTAGGTTGGAGACCATGGCTAGCATTTGGGCTTGATCCCTGAAGAGTCCCAAGGGGGACGAAAGCTAGGCATTTAGAAAAGCTGCTTTGGGTTTGAGCGACCTGTTCTAAAGTTGTGCCACCTATGGGTTCAGGCTGTGGGGTACTAGTGATGGCCTCCACCCTAGTCGTGAGACGAAAAAAGGACTGACGCTAAACAAAGCCTAATAGCACCGAATAGCGTCCTTGCTCCGTTCGTAGCGATGCCAGGAGCCCCTAGTAGCGTCCTTGCTCCTAGTAGCGATGGCCTCCACCCTGGCCGGAGGTAAATCTCCATCGTCCAGCCCAAACTTGGGTGCTCGGCCGAGGATTTGAGGACAGCAGAGAAAGTGAATCTGCGGGGGGTCTCCAGCCGTGCGTGTCGCTGACGGGGGTTCAGTGGCTGGAAGGCTTGATGTGCACCCCTTCACGTCTGGGGACATGCTTTTCTTTGTTGAAAGGTGCGGACAACACGTCCGTTGCATACGAAGAGTCTTTGAGCGTTTGTGGTCGTACCCTTGTTCCGTCTTGATTCGGCAATTACGGTTACAGTGACGAAAAAGCGGGGTGACACACTCAGCACACCCAAAAGCGGTCTTGTGGGTTTCAGATCCCTCGCGGTTTTCACGACAGACCGAGCTCAACGAGGTCTCTGGAGACTTCGACATGCCGGTGGAGCTCAACGAGGCGCAGCGAAGCTGACCGAAACACGGAACTCGGTTTCGCCTTGTTGCATGCCATGAGTCAGGTTTGGGTGGTGCACCACAAGAGTCGGTGTTTCGAAGAAGAAGAGGGACGGCGCATCCCCAAGAGTGTCAGAACTTCAATCCCGGATCTTTTCAGTTCGTTTTCTACATGCATTCCAAGTCGGTTGCCAGCTCTAGTAGTGTTAGTAGGCCTTTCGGATAGCTCTCTGAAACACGGGGTTCGAGGCCACAAGAAATCCTTCGGTGGGCCTCCGGAATCCGTTTTTTGCTTTGGTCAGCGGCATCCACCAGCGGAATCGCGGGGATGTTTCTGACTTCAGAATGGCACAACCAATGTTTTGCTGTTTTTTCTCTTTCTCCAACGTGTATGATGATCCTAGGAGCGATCGGACGCTACGAACTGGGCTCCTGGCCCTACTTCTAGTAACAAGGAGCTACTAGGGGCTCCTGGCAGCTACGAACGGAGCAAGGACGCTGGTCTCAGGCTCACCGAAACGTCTCAAAACGACCCAAAGAGTGTCACGAAAACCGAAGAGCGGAGTGCCCGGTCCCAAAAACTGCGGAACCGCTCCGTCCACCGCGGCCGCTCGGCCCACCGTTTTCAGCGTCAACTGCGGCGCTGCCGTTGACACTACCAGGCGGGGATGGAAAGGATTTATGGGATGGGTCTGTAGGTCAGGGAGTGATTGGTCAAATTGCCGTTTATTTCCTTCAGCAGATTTACTCAAATTTACTCCTGTACTTCTGATTGAATGTTAGAATCTCAACACCGCGTTTTTGGTCTAGGATGGTTTTCCTGCTTCATTCGTTGCTTTGTGGGGTGGCACAAAGGTAGCGGGCCAAGGGACCTCAAGATGGAGTTCCCCATAAGCATTCTTGATCGATGGTGGCATGAAAGAAGCTGACATATGCTTACATATTTCAGCCAAAATAGAGCTGGCCACTTGTGACAAAGTAATTTCCCTCAGCTGATCCGCAGATTTGGTGCAGCTCGTCCTCAGGCTTCTCTTGCGGCGGAGTTGGTGAGCAATGGGGAAGGCTGGCAAGAAGAAGGCTGAGAAGAAGGGCGGCATTTTTGATGTACCTTGGATGGATGAATTGGATTCTTGGATGGTTGATGAACCTTGAACCAGAGCAGCAGGCAGCTTTCTAGATGGCCATGTCAGCTTCTGGGAGTGTTAGCCCCCATGTTGGTTCTGCATCTTTGCATTCAACGGGTGCTGTAAGCTTGATGGCATGGTAAATTCTTTGTTTCCAAACAGCGTTCAAACCATCATGACATTGTCATACATTTTCATTGAGCAAATTGAGAAGTCGAATTCATGTCTTTGTCGCCCAGGTCGGGAACTTGATCTTCCTGGCCATCGCCGCTGCCATAGGCTGCTGTCCTGGGGCGGTGGTCCGAATTGCATGGATCAGAATGGTAACAGCCAAGAAAAAGAGATGTCGAAATTATTTGTGACCCATCTGATTAAGTGTACGATAGGCCAACTATGGCCAACTGATCAGTCCTTGCTTCGATGGCCCTCTGTCGTGCAAGCAGTGTGCCTTTTGATGCTTGCCTGATTTTGACGGTTCCCGCTTCCCACCAGCTCTTTCCGTCCAAAAGGCACCCCCTTTCTGCTGGCGCTCGGCTTCCGCGCCAGCAGCGGCACGCACACCACATCCGATCCCTTTCAGAGCGAGGTCCGGTTCTTCTGGAGCGGAAAGCCACCTCTCCTTCCGCCCCTGAACAGCAACGCTTGCCAAGTCGGTGCTGTATTCAGTGTTTCGTTTGTTGTGTCTGGCGTTTCAACCCTGAAATGCTGGTGCTTCGTTTCCCCACTTCCGAATAAGAGGAATTCCTTGGGCGTTTCCTCCATTGGGTGCGGGACCTGAACCTTTGGTTTGCGTGCTTGCCTCCGCAGTGTCGTTGGTCTCGTTTGCCCCATGCGTGCGTGACCTAGCTCTCCTCCACCCAAGCTCTCTCACGTCATCCAGAAAACCGTTCGGCTGATTCACCAGCAGTTCCTTAGAAGCTACTAGTAACAAGTGCATCGCTACTAGTAACAAGTGCCTTACTAGTAAGAACAAGAACGCTACTAGTAACAAGGGCATTTCTACTAGAAGCAAGAAGCTAGTACCAAACAGGTGGACGGACCCAGTGGACCCAACGGACATCAACGGACCTTTGACAGACGACCTGCTTTGACGGGCGGCAGGATGGACCTCTCAAGTGCATGTACCGTTTCGCAGATGTTTCGCAGCTCGTTGGCAGGATACTGCCGGTACAACCAGATCAACATCCCCATTTTGGATGACTTCATCCGAAAGGCCCTCTACGGGGACGCTGGAGGCCAGCATCCCAGACCTGGAAGTGAAGCCACCTACTCACTTCCTTTTTGAGGTGGTGGCGGTGTGGGTGATGAAGTGGCCAATAGCATGGCGGACGCGCGTGCAGGCAAGCCCATCGTTTCTTGGCCATGCCATGGGGCCACTGCAAGAAGCTGGCTGGAAGTGGGAGGGCGAGTGAGAGCTGAAACCTCTGGTTGGGGACCATTGACTCAAATCAGAAGGTACAGGTGGTAACAAGAGATAGCAAGCATCGGCAAAAGTGAGAGGCTTCTGGTATTGCTCCACTTTTTGGGATCACTTAGATCACTTGTCGAAAAACGGACCATGCAAATGATGCTGTCATGCTGTCCTATTGAGCAACAAAAGAATGTCACCAGATGGAACTATTGGACGTGAGACATATAGAAGTAACAATGTTCGCTACTAGTAACAAGTGCCACGCTACTAGGAACAAGTGCCTTACTAGTAGTAACAAGAAGAATTTAATTAGAATTGTAATTACTAGCTTCTTGTTACTACCAGTAAGGCACCTGTTACTACTAGCGTGGCACTTGTAATTACTAGCTTCTTGTTATCCAATCTCACATCGAAGGACGAGATGCCAAGCAATTTCGAAGGTCATCCGCTGTCAATTCCACTCACGGCCCTTCATGACCCCAACAGATTAACTGTTAAGTGACATAATCATATACAATTAACATCCTTGAAGACCCGATCAAAAGGAAGAGAATTCCAAGCAATTTCGGAATAATGTGTCCCAAATCGGAGGACTTTCTAAAGAGATTTCAGATCCTCAGCGGTCTGAACCCAACCGCTCCACCCAGGCAGTCAGCGACGTGTTGGGGCAGATGAACCGCTACTGCCGCCGAGGGAAGTGCAATGACGACTACTGGGTGCCTGAGATGAGGGGTGAAAGGTTGGGGAGGTGGAAACAGGAGAAGGCACACTGACTGAGAAGGCCCCATAGAAGTGACATGCCACAAATGGCATCGCTACTAGGAGCAAGGACACTACTAGTAGCTCCTGGCCTTACTACTAGTAAAAAGCAGCTACGCAGCTACTAGTAACAATTGCTCAAATAGATGTCTTACCCCTATGCCAGCTCCACCGTGCCCCTTTGCGTCTCAATTCCAAGCACCTTTTGACAGCTCCTCCGGCCGAACCCACACACGACAACGCAGGAGGCCTTGCCGGACGTGGCCAAGGCCCTGAAGATGGGCCCTGGAACCTGGGATCGGAAGCCGCTGAAGAAGGAGCCCCCACGGCGTGTTTCTTTGTGTTGTTGGGAGGGAAGTTCGGGGGAGCTGTGGGTGTGGGTGGTTTTGTGTTTTTGAGGGATGTTTCTTTTTTTAATCGAGTGGCGCAGGAGCTTTCGACGGGTTTTAGTCGGGTATGTAGATGCTGAGGGTATGGCCGACATGAAGAGTTTGTGGCCAGGACAAGGCAAGAGATCTAGATGCCACTTGGCTGAACTACTAGGAACAAGTGCATCGCTACTAGTGACAAGTGCCTTACTAGTAGTAACAAGAAGCTAGTAGAAACAAGTGCCACGCTACTAGGAACAGGTGCCTTACTAGTAGTAACAATGTTTGCTATTAGAATTAATGTTTAATGCCTTGTGAGCGTTGAAAGTCGGAGAAGCCAGCTCAGTCTGTTTGAAATAGGGCAGCTCTGGAGTTGGAGGTCAATCAGCCGGCCACGCATGTCTAAGGAACTTTTAACGAAAGTGGCGCAGCAACCACAAGCAAGGCGGGGGCAAGATGCTTGCTGCTTGAGGCTGTCCAGCTTCAGCATTACCCTACACAACCCCTCTACAGTACGCTTCTACGCTCTCCGTTTCGATCTTGGACAGAGCCACCTTTCAAAGTGTGCAAACAAAATCAAACAACATATGACAAACAAACATAAGAAAGGATTGGTTGCCGGACAAGTCGAGTGTGAATGCGAGGAGCGAGGCGGTTTGGAGCGCGCTGCGGATCGTCTCGAAGGAACTCCTGGATGTGACGCCCAAGTCCATGTGCTTTGGCCAGGCATCGTTACTAGGAACAATGTTCGCTACTAGGAACAAAGGGCATCGCTACTAGGAACAATGTTCGCTACTAGGAACAAAGGGCATCGCTGCTAGGAGCAAGAACGCTACTAGGAACAAGTGCCTTACTAGTAGTAGCAAGAAGCTACTAGGGGCTCCTGG